CGCTGAGAGATCGGCACAAAAGGAAGCGATCGCTGCAATCGCTGCCAAACCTATGCATACGTTCAGCGAATACTGCAATATATGGCAATTTGTGGCAACAATAACGTCGTCCACAACGACGACCACCACATGGAGAGTGCATTGCGTTTGTGTGCTATTTGTGTGCTATTTGTGGCCGTAATTGAGTGGTGACTCAGTGTTGCACTCATTGTTAAGTCTGTCTGTAGGAGAGTATCCATTATTAGCGTAGGAATGCATTGAATGAGTGAATGAATGAATGAATGCCTCAATTAATACACAAATATCTGACAGTTTGTCGACCTCTGCCTTCACACCACTCCACCATCCACTCAGACATCACTCATTCACCACTCATTCACCACTGGATGACACACCACTCCAAGACATCACCGCAACCCATGCACCACATCCACCACATCGCTGTCACCGCATTGGCTCACAATTGACTCGTTTGTCGTCAACTAATGAATGTCTTTCCAATTGATCCAAAGATTATTTGATGTGATTATTGATTGTCTGTGAAGTACATCCCAATTGAGTGCACTATTGATATAATGGCCACCAATGGCTCATCCAATGTGTCTGAAGTGCGAACAAATGGTCACCGAATGGAGAGTTCGCTTCAGTCGATAGTCAATGAGTTCTTGAGTTCACAATTGGCTCTCAAAGGATACAATTGGACTCCAGAGGAAGTGGTGCCAAACGGTGTCAACAGTGACTCTCATAACCAATCATTCAATTTGAGTGAAAGGACTAAAATAGTGGACGCGTTGAAGACATTGGGCCACAAATACGTGAACTTATATGAGGAACAGTTGGCTGCGATGTGTGAGCGCCTGGAGTTGAGTCCGTCGACGGCGATGACAACATTCAACAGTGTGTCCAACGAATTGTTCATCGAAGGCATCAAATGGCATCATATCATCACTTTCCTGGTCTTCAGCGCCGAATTCGCGTTCAATTGCGTTCAAAACGGTTTCCCAAATCTAGTGAATGAAGTCTCGCATTGGATCACCACTTATGTCACACAACACCTTCACCCATGGATCCGTGATAATGGGGGCTGGGTTTGTATGCCTGTCCACTGACCCTCCTGTCCACCACTAACACCCTTTCCTTCATTTCCCTCAGGAGTCTGTGATCGAGTTATCCGACGATAAAGTGGTTGCGGGACAGAAGAAACTGCTTTACGGAGCGGCCGGTGCTCTCGGAGTGCTAACTCTGGGACTGTTTCTGAGAAACTTTTCTTTCAAATGAGTTCTTCACTCATTTGCTCTCAAATTTAATTTATACACAACTTTCCTATCAGTTTACAAATAAGTATTCAATGATCTGTACTTTGCTTTCAAATACTTTATTATAACTTAATTAGATTTTGTCAATTTTCATGTAAAATATATATACAAATAATTATATATTTAAAATATATTGTCAAATAATTCGTCATTTTCTAGAATTTTTAAATTTAATAAAATTATGTAATTATAAAGTCGATTCTTATAAAAATATATATTTTACTATTTAAGCGATTTTTTATTGAATTTAATGTGAATTTTAAATTTATTTTGTGTTTGGAATGTGAGACTCATTCCCAGTGTTAGCCACATATCATATATCAAACAATTCTCAGAAAAGTTTTCTTTTAGTCCAATAATTGGTTGACTTTATTTGAGTTATATTTTCCGTTGGGAAGCAATAAAATAATATTTATTTTGTATCACAATTCGAGAGGTTATATAAAAATATTTGTGCAAATCTAAGGGTCACATGAAGTCAGGGATCACAGCCTGGGATCTATTTTATCTCAAGAATCGGATTAATGTGATGTTCGCTAAGAAATTATATGTTGTGTTAGAGTTACGTCTCACGAGTGACAGCGAGAACTGTGGGCTCTCATAGACAGTGCAGAGTCTGCAACACATCCTCCACTCACTCCTCTGTTATTAATGCAATCACTTCTGAAAACCACAAACTCTTCTCATTCTTTCACTTTTCATAATTGTTTTGAGATTTTCGTACAAATATTTTAAGATATCTTCAAATGAAACTAATCTAGATCTTCAAACAATATTGAGAATACTGTATACTATACGATAATAATTATGAATCTTTTTGTAATACTATTAAATATTAATTTGTTGTTAGTATTGTAGAAAAATCTTAATATTTTGTTAGTGTTTTAAGTTAAACCCAAAGAAACGCAAATATCTTATGAATATTAGAGAAGCAAATGAAAGATAAATGAATATTAAGTTCAAAAGTATAACATCCGGTTCTTTCTTTTGCTCACAAAACTTCTCTCATAGGCTAACATTAGGAAAAAGTGAGGCTTAAAACATACCACCAGTCCATCTTACCATTTGAACTTATATTGAACACAAATCCTAAACAGGAATTGTGAACATAGAAACAATACAAGAAAACTAACAAAAATAAAACAAAATAAAAAAGTTTTCGATTATAAATGTTTGAATTTAAAAAGTTGACATTTATGTGATTTAGAAACTGTAATGAAATATTGGATGTGCTTGTGCTGGGTATATAAGGGAAGTGAATGGCAGTACTGGTTGTGTTATGTGAAAGGAGAGAAGGTTAGCACTCCCCTGGACGAGGACGGAGTATAACACATAGGCGGGGGAGCACTCATTGTCCTCACAAGACAATGCCCTCAGCCGACCGTTTTTTTTCCGTAACCACTTTCACTCACTACTCAATTAGTATAACAATTCAATTGCCAATCAATATATTTAATAGTTTTAAAATACATTGCTATTTAAAAGTCTAAAAATTGCGTTAACATTGATTTTAAATTTAATAGGGAATAAGATTTTTAATAGAAATTAATTCAAAATTAATATTTAACGTAAAAAGTTCTTTAAATAAGAGGTGATTCACATATAAATTATTTAGAAATGTTTATTAAATAGAAGTTTAAATCACTTTTAGAAATCACTATAACTATCGGTGTTTTAGCCATAATTCGTGTGTTCATCAAAATGTGGTCCATTTATGGCATCGATTGTCTCAATTCCTTACATTCATTATTTTTCCACTATGTTAGACAAAACACAAAATTAGTTATATTTACGAGAGAGAGAGAGAGAGAGAGAGAGTGAGAGAGAGGAGAGAGAAGAGAGAGAGGAGAGAGAGAGAGACTCACGTAATGGTTCTCTTTTCGATATTTTGCTTCTCAGGTCGGGCTCTGTTCAAAATTTTCAAGAAGTCTGAGGTCTTAGCTCTCATTCTGGAGTGAATGTAGGCTTTGGAGCACTTGATGTGGTAATGGAGATAATCTCTGAAGGTGTGGATCAAATTGATAGTGTTGTCTCTGGAGTTCTTGTTGGTGTGTCGGGGGAACAGAACGAATGTGATGTACCCGATGTTGTCGCCGACCCGGGCCTCTGTGTTCTGCAACTCCATCGGTGGCTCCCTATGCGAGAAGAGCACCTGAGGTGCCGTTTGGGAGGCCTTCCGGCCCTAATTGCGTTAACATTGATTTTAAATTTAATAGGGAATAAGATTTTTAATAGAAATTAATTCAAAATTAATATTTAACGTAAAAAGTTCTTTAAATAAGAGGTGATTCACATATAAATTATTTAGAAATTTTTATTAAATAGAAGTTTAAATCACTTAGAAATCACTATAACTATCGGTGTTTTAGCCATAATTCGTGTGTTCATCAAAATGTGGTCCATTTATGGCATCGATTGTCTCAATTCCTTACATTCATTATTTTGCCACTAATTTTAGACAAAACACAAAATTAGTTATATTTACGAGAGAGAGAGAGAGAGAGAGAGGAGAGAGAGAGGAGAGAGAGAGAGAGAGACTCACGTAATGGTTCTCTTTTCGATATTTTGCTTCTCAGGTCGGGCTCTGTTCAAAATTTTCAAGAAGTCTGAGGTCTTGGCTCTCATTCTGGAGTGAATGTAGGCTTTGGAGCACTTGATGTGGTAATGGAGATAATCTCTGAAGGTGTGGATCAAATTGATTGTGTTGTCTCTGGAGTTCTTGTTGGTGTGTCGCGGGAACAGAACGAATGTGATGTACCCGATGTTGTCGCCGACCCGGGCCTCTGTGTTCTGCAACTCCATCGGTGGCTCCCTATGCGAGAAGAGCACCTGAGGTGCCGTTTGGGAGGCCTTCCGGCCCTCCTTGAACTCCTGCATAAACACTTTGCCGATTACGATGTCGTCCTCGTCCTTGAAGATGGTCGAGAAGACCACAGTCACCCTATCAGGTCTGGCCTCCACATACATCGTCTCCTCATCCCTATAGTGGATAACAGCCCTCTTTTGGCCTTCCGTTCCGTTCTCCTGAAACTCAAAGTACTTCTCGAAGACCGACGCAAAGCAGTTGCGCTTAAGAAGTCCGGCCTTTTGGATGAGTTGTTCATAATTTTGGGGCAAATTCTTTAAGTCGAACAGAAGGGAGACATTATAGCCGTCCTCCGGAGGTGTCATAAGTAGTGAACCGTATTCTCGGCGCAAGAGGTCGTCCGCGCCATGACTTTGCAGCTCTTTGTAGAACTTCAGGGAAATACTGATCCGGATCTTCGCTTTGTCTCCATTGATGTTTGATATATGGAAGAGCACGCCATCGAAGTCGGCGACCGTCACGTCCACTGACTCTATCTTATTGCCGGATCTGTTGGAGTGATCACCAAATGAGTCACCAAATGATCATCTATTCATTCACCACATCATAAGCCACTCATTGAACACTTACTCGACTTCCTGTATCTTAAGCCGAAGGACGTCTTCGACGACACGATTGTTAATCTCAAGAAGAATCATATCTTTAGCTCAGATGGAGTACAAGTGGAGGAGTGTTGAGACAAATGGTGTATAATATCCGCCCAAACAGTCATGTGATGCACTCGTAGTGCACTGTATGTGACGTCAGCTCTCATTCACACAAACAGTCATTCATTCAATACTTTTCACTACTTTTCTGAACCAAAACTTTTGGTTTGTGTTGACGTGAGTGGACAGTCGTGTCAGTCAATGGGCACCGGTATGTGTCCGCCACTGATCACCGTCTGAGACACATCTACTGTATAAAGGATTGTCTTAAGCCAGAGCTAGAAGTGATTAAAACTCATGTAATGATTGTTGCGATGCTTTAACTGTAGATGTCTTGAGAGATGTCTTGAGGATAACCGCGATGTCGAGTAGAGTTGATATCATAAAAGAGGGTTACAGTCGATGGCTGTCCGCCGACACGATGGCGGCCAACGGCACCTCCACTTTGATCCGATCCGCACACATGACTGTCGTATTCGACACATTGAGTCCGTGGGACAGACAGTTGCTGACGGATAGGTTGTCCACATTTGGAGTGACCCCCGAAGACGTGAACGCATTGGTCTGCAGTCATACCCATACGGATCACATCGGAAACCTAAACCTCTTCACCAATTGTCAGCACATCGTCGGAGACCACGTCTACAAAGAAGACGTCTTCCAATTGAATGCTTTCCGACAAAAGCAAACCATTGACTTGTCTCCAGACATGCAAATTGTGTCCACTCCCGGACACACCAAAGACAGTATCAGTCTTGTGGTGAAGAATGTGGACAAATTGGGAACAATTGGAATCTGCGGTGACTTATTCGAGTGCGAGGCCGACCTCCTGGACGACAACATATGGATAAGTGCCGGATCTGAAGACGAGTCGCTGCAGAGGCAGAATCGGCGACTGATGGCTGGTCTCTGTGATTACATAATCCCAGGACACGGACCCATGTTTCGCGTCAAACCATAATTAGGCTGAAGTTGGACTCAGTCTTATAGGACTCATTGAAATGTTTTATTTTGTAAATAACTTAAAATTAAATTTGTTATTAAAAGCTATTGTAAGTTACTCTAAGTTATAGCCAATTCTTATTAATTCTATGATTCTATCAATTATTCTCAACTCTAACCCTAAGTGAAGCCATAATATTGGCTACATTTTTAACATATATAATCAGATTCGTGGCTCAAAGCGCAGGGTTACTGCATGTTTAGGCCGTAATATTAATCCCATATCTTCTTCATAAGAGATGTCCCTAACGGACGATATCTTAAATCTTTGTAACAGAGATGTAAAGCATAGAAAGATCTCCGTCTGTGCCAACGCCTCTCCCGGACACGACCTCTTCCCTAATCAATACAATTATGCGATTATTAGACAATTAAAAAATATATTCCAAAAGTTCAGAAAGTGTCTGATGTCTGACCCGTAGAGAAAGGAATCAATTGATCGGATTTCAAGAGTTGATTGTCTTCTGTAAGAAATCTGTATGGATTGAAACGTTGCGGAGATTGCCAATAGAGAGGGTCGTTGTGTACGGCCCACAGGTTAGCGATTACTATCGTGTCTTTTTGCACATCAAAACCACTGACAGATGTGTCGTCCGTTGTTATCCTCAATAAGTTGAGCGGAGATATTGTTTTCCAGCGATAGATCTCATTAATGACTGCTTGAGTGAAAGGCATTGAATTTCGATGACCCCAAGCGGGGAATTCTTGTCGACCGCATACGCTATCGATTTCTTTCTGTACCTCTTGTTGTATGTCTTGGTGTCCGGCGATTATAAGCAGCGCCCACTCTATGGATGTCTTGACTGTCTCAGTGCCGGCAGCAAAAAATCCCTGGACATTGCCGGCCAACATGTCTGCTGTGAACGAGGTATCACTTAATCCCTTAGTTTTTCTCATTTCGATGAGGAAGGCGTCGATGTAATCCCTGATGTTATTCTCATTCAATGTTCTCTTGTGTTCTTGGATTTGAGTTTTGATATAATTATTAACTGTAAGAAAGTCTTCCTTTACTTGTTTTAACCCAAATAAACCAAAATAAGCGCAAAGTTTAGCAAACGACGGGAAGAATGTGATGAATCCGGTTTGACCCAACTTTTTGATGGCCCGTTCAATACAACCGTCCAGTAGTTGTCGGTTGGGGTCGTTATAATCAAAGCGATTGCCGAACACAAGCGCTGATATGTTACTCGAAGTACTCGACCCTAAAAGTGAACGAATCTCTACTTCTGTGCCGTTAAGCGATCCGATTCTGTGGCACAACTCAATCATCTCATTGTTTATATGCTTTTCCATCGAAGTCTTTCCAAAACCCAAATTTCTTAACTGATGTAAAGTGAATCGCTTTTGTTCTCTCCATTCTCTCCCACTTAATGTCCCGAAACCTTTGGATTCATTATAATTATAATTATAATCAAATAAGTTTGCAATTTGAATAAATAATTTAATGTTCAAATTTGTAGCAAACCCTGTAATTCCATGATTACATTAAATGCAACACTTTTAGGTCGACCTAAGAATTCATCCTTTTTGAAGGCCTCGTTAATTGATATGAAATCATTCAAAACTATTGCATTCATTCTTCCCAAACGAAGTCTATTTAATTGAAACACCTTTATGTTTAAAGTATATAAAATTACAATCTATTTAAATCTTACTTAAAAACTTTGCCATATTTTTGGCTCAAAAGCGATAGTTTTTGGTGAGCTTTTAAACCTAAAAATGGTAAATATCCGACTATAGGAAGTCCTCGGGGTCCTTTCAAAATAGGTTTGTCTTTCCACGAAATCTTCGTAACAATTCTAAATAAAAGCACTATTAATGCAATTATATAAATAGTTGAATATAACATCAAACTTAATTCTATCATTTTTTGGTTTAAAATTTCTATATAATAATTTTTCACTTATATAAGAACTAAAAACAAAACTGTTTTATAAAAGAAGTGAACTCTCAGTTAAAACTTAGAAAGTTGTCTAAAAATTTTACTTGTCGTTTGTGTAATTTTAAAATTCATAAAATACAGTATAATATTTTATAATGATTTATATATCCTTAGAATATGCAAATATCAAGTCATTAAAATAATGAATCTTTAGAAATAAATGAAAAACTTGTAAATAATTTTTTTTATTTTACTAAAACTGAAACGGATCTAAACTTTGATTAGAAACCATTGAAAATAACTGTCACACAAAAAGCATAACTTAAAGATATTTTAAGTAAATTAGAAATATGAATAAACCATAAGTTTTAGAATAGTTTATTGATTGATATGTTTAGAGATGATTGGATGTATTTTAACGTTTACGTCGGTTGATATCTAGGACCAAAATGAGTGACAGAATAGATATAATTAGATCTAATGTTAGAACAATAGATATCACGATATAAGGGTGCGCTTGGACTCCAAGAATCACTGGAATTAATTCAAAGTTATTAATGCCAGACAACGGACCGTAAACGAGAAACACGTAAAATGTGATGAAAAAGCTTAATATAGATGTAATACAAAGCCATAGAAGTGGTAATAGAGATAACTTGTAAGTGGCAATAGTGGCCGACATGTATGTCATCCATGTATTATAGAAAGATATGGTCCGCACACTTAGTATGATCTTTCTGTGTGGTATGATTGCCATAATCCTCTGACTCAAGACATCTATTATCGTAATGCATTGGGAACGGCTATCGTTATGACTTGAGATGTGAATTGGCTCTGAACTACAAT